ACGATTTCTTATAATTCGTTACTAATACATTGGTAACGAAATAAAATTGGTTACAATACCTTATTACTTGTAACAAATTCGGTCCTCGCTATATATTTTTAGTCGTTACGAAAGTCTGAATTCGTTACCAATAATCAGTTTCATGAATATTTAAAATATAATAATGTCAAATACTTTTCGTTACAAAAACTTCTTATGACAATGATATCCTTACCATACTTCATTTTTTTATTTTTATTTTGATATTATTTTTAATTTTCTTGTGAAAATAAAATAATGAATTGAGAATTTTCTGACAGCAAGAATATTCATTCAAAATAATACAACATTAAAAAATTTATATCGATTATAATCACCAATCATTTCATTGTAAATACATGCTTCAAAGTTACAGCAGGACTCAAAAACAATTGAGAAGTAGCAAAATATTCTAAATAATATCCTTAGTGATGCACGATTGATCAAAATACAAGCTAACTTTCAAAACTTCACATTGAACCATTCTTTGTTGTATTTACACCAAAAACCTGCAAATATAAGTATTAATTAAATTTTATTAGGCGTTTAAGCATAAAACCAGTAAAAAAACATTAGAAAAACGAAACTATAAGGTTGTATGAAATTTTTTTGGAAGAAGATACCTATTTCCAAAGTCAAATTCTAAGCACACATTTCTGAAGAAAAAAAATTCCTTAGTCATATCATCTCTTGTACGTTCAAGCATGTAATAAGAGTAATCAAACAAATTAATTCTCAATAAATATTACAAGAAGAAGACAAAAATGCTCAGATCAAACATATGCCCAAAAATAATCACACATAAACATATTATACAACACCAAATTAATGGATTATGGAATCAAATTTTATCACAGTTCTAATCAACTTATATTTTATCAAAAATCAGCACACTCACATAAAATAAAGTTAAAATATGAAAATATAGCAACAAACATGTATAACTTACAAAGTTTTGTCTTGATTGCTTGAACTCTTTTATTGCAATAAACGCAATAGCATTTGCTTCAATTCGTCTTGCCCTTCCCTTAGACCTTGTATTTCATCATCTTGCCTTTTGCAACGGTCATCATAGTTTTGAAGGCACAAGATTCACATGTTGACCTCTTCGAACATTTAGAAGGCACAACTCCATACCTCTTTGAACTACTGGATTATTTCTCCCATCCTTTGATATTAAACCATGTCTAAAATTGGTGGACAAGAGTAACTATCAAAATAAAGAAATTTATTTCATATCTATGATAAAGTAAAAATGTAGAAAACCATTATACTTACATCTAATCCAGCATAAACCTACTTTTGGTGTTCTGCAACGTCACTCCAGTTACTCATACAATCAAGTTCTGGACTGTGCCTAATAACAACTCCAATTCCAGTTGCTAAGTGATTAGCAAATTGACGTGGCTTTTTAAAACCTTCAGGAAACTCAATTTCTAATAATTGTCCTTTCTAATCACAAATATAAAGAATATATATAGTTATTGTTAGATACATGTAACAAAAAAAAAAAGAGAAATGTATATCAAACAATAGACACTAATATTTTCAACAATTGCTTTCTCTATCGATTTTCCTGTAGTTGCTCCGCGGCCTCTTTTCTTTGTGGAAACTGATATTTATTCATAAAAATACACATAAAAATACAAATATCTAATAAACAGATAATAAAGTTAAGTATTATTAGAAAAATGCATAAAATTACCAGTTGAGTTTTCATGGATTGATAAAGAACTTTCACTTTCGTATCCTTGTGTATATCCTCATGAAGATGGGGAGATGTAGATGAAGTTGGCACACGAGATGACGGGATTTCAGATCGTGAATTTGCCGACACAAATGGAAGTTCTTGAGCGACTGAAGATGCTTATACATTTGCATATTTACTCCTCCTAGTTAAAAGGCGACGCGGTACTATATTATTAGGTGGCATCTAACTGCACAATTAATTAAATAATCAATTAAGTTAACAAATAAAGAATAATACGTAAAACACAATTCGCTCTTGAAAATTTCAGAAATGGTTCCACGCAATTAATTTAAATTCTCTCTCAGGTTCTGTTAGTAAAAGTCTCAAACAATCTGTACATGGGAAGAATTTATTTAATGTTTCAAACATGTACAATTTATTCTCAACTTTTAACAATTAAAAAAATGAAGCCATCACTAGGAAAAATAAAACTAAAGGATTTCAGGTAATTGATTTATATACCTCATATGAGAAAGGGTTTCCAATTCTTCAATAATTATTTCGACCCCTTTGGGAATCGTAATATGAATTATAAGTTGTAATACTCAGTAGGATTCAAGCACTACATAATCTTAGTACAATTCCTACTGTTTTTTCAAAAAAAGTTTATCCAGTGGACAAAAAATTCAGGATAGGACTTAAACTCCATCCCATATCATCGCTGCGAAATACTCAGGATTTATGTACCTTGAATTGTCGCTCTCTATTGGCTCAGCCGCCTGTGTTAGAAAAATCAAGTGGACTGGCGGGGTGTGCGGCGGCAGTAGGAAGAGCGATGGTGTGTGCGGTAGCGATAGAAGATGTGACGATCTGTGAAAGTGGTGAAAATTAAAAACCCTATCTTCGTCTTTGTCTGTTCATTTGACTCTTTGTTTTCTCCGCTAGAATAATTTAGAGAAATATAAAGAAGAGGCGCTAATTTTGCCGCCCAGTATTTTGGGACTCTTTTAATCCAAATTTTAATTTAAAGTTAAATTTATTTAACTAAAGAGTTTCTACCACTACATTACTTATTAAAATAATTGATGTTTTTAATATGCAAAAAATCAAACATAAAAAATATATTAATAAATTAAGTAAACAAAAAATTAATAAAATGATGTAGTATATAAAGCTTTAAATTTAAATTAATTTTTTAATGGTAATTAATTCAAATCAAGGATAATTAGTTCAACACTGTTAAACCATAATAATTAAAATTTGTTTCTTTTTTTTAATTCTACTGCATTGTCATTATAAATAATATTTTTTTCTTAATTTTTACTTGTATTTACTTAATATAATATTTTTATTATATATATTAATTATATTTATAATAAAAAGTAATTAAAAATTGGAACCTTTTGTGAGCACATTATTGCTGTCGCTAAAGATTATTTTCTTTTGTGACAACTTAATACTAAATGTAACGAATACTTTGTTAGTCACTATAAAGAAAACTTTTGGTAACATCACTAAACCTCTTGTAACTAAGTAACCAAGTTGTCACCAAAAAATGCATTTCTCGTAACGAATCGTTACCCAAAACAACATGTTTCGTGACAATACTTGAAGTTTGTTACAGTAAATGAGTTGTTGTGACTAAAACTTGGTTTGTTACCATTGTTTCGTTATTTAAAGTGTCTTTTTTTGTAGTGTAACTTGTATTTAACCCTTTTTATAACGTGAGTTATTTTCAATGATTAGAGTTTACACATGGTTGGTTAGTCTTACAAGCTAAAAATAGAAAAACAAATTAGTAATTTAAAAATGTATCATGCCAACTTGCACGAGCGGTGATATGAAGCATATCATTTGAAAAAAATTACAATCATGAAGAACTACACAATGCCAATGTAATATATATTTATAAAATTTTCATGTATATATGCATTCACTCTTGTGATATTTTATTGTTGTATTACCCCTCGATGTGGATTATTGATACATTATACGTGGATTAGTACATGTACATTTATCACAATTTCAATGAATACCTAGCAAGAATGGCATATCACGTAATTTGTTAACATAATAATTATCCTCTCTTCTATTTTTTTATATATAAAATATATATTCCTATTGTAGTTTAAGGTACATATTTTGGTAGAATTCATTTAAATAGAAACAATTTACATTTTTCAATTAATAGAATAAATTATTGTATTAAATTTTTATGCTGATCATATATTTGATTTTAATATATTAAATTGAGTAAAAAGCAGTGTACTCTTAAACTCAAAGAGTAAGATTATTGTAGAGATGTGTGTTGTTGAAATGTTTGTTTAGTTCCATAGAGAACTTTTTAAAGGGATAAGTGAAAAAAATAAGGAAATAAATTGAAGGAGGAGTATGATGAAGGGTAAGGAGGATTGGCCGGAGATCGAAGAAGGGTGATACTAGATGGAGGTGGTGAAGAATAGCGTAAATCATGAAGTGTATAAGGGTTCCTCAAACTCACGAGATTCGCGCATGCCTAGATATCGGCTGAAAATGCCTGAAAATATCAATTTTTGGGAACGGTGCAATGAAAGAACAAGTTTACATAAAAACATGCAAAACAATTTTGCATAGGGGGCAAAGTGCAAATCGATCCTTAGTATGTGGGCGACTATTTTTTACTCTAATTCAATGATAAGATTTGCTATGATATCTTAGAAAGTTATGAAATGTAACATAACGTGATCTGAAAATTTTGCCTAGGAAGTTGTGATGGTAGCATGCATGCAGCAATCTCTATTTATTAATGGTTGTACGTGAAATTTGGAGTCGCTTTCTTATAATTATACAAATAACAAAAGTACTGCAAGTTTTGATTTTATTGTAGCATCCTTTTGAGAACTTTATACCAAAATGTTTCGTATATTTATAATATTTTATTTAAATAATTATATATTTTAAGGATAAATACACAAAAGGAAATATATAAAATAAAAAATTAATATAATACTGAACTAGACACGTGCAACGCACGTGCATCTTCCTAGTACTATCAAAAAACGTTTTTAATAAATAGAAATTTTGTTAGTGTTTGCAAAACAAATTTTATTTTCAACTCATTGCTTGTATTTTGACGTTGTAAGAATATCAAAAACATTTGTTTTATCCTAAGATCAAAATTAAAAATCCTTCATTAATAGTAACAAGATAATTAATTAATTAATTAAATAGTCGGAACTGGCGATACACGCGGTAGCTAATTTCCAGCATAAGCAATACTTTATGATTTACATGGATACACATGTGGGATACTTTACTTAAAATAAAGAAACAAATAACACATGGATACCTTGCGCACAGACCAAGAGAGGAAGAATACTACTTTTATCATTTTGGCGTCACAGTGCATGAGAGCATCATAAAAAAAGAAAGAAAGAGATAGAATATTGCAAAAACCAAACCTTGTATTATTACTTGATATAACAAAAATTCCACTTCCTTTGCGTTTCCAATTCGTTCAGAAATCATCTCTCCGGTACCGTCATCTCTCTCTCTCTCTCTCTCTCTCTCTCTCTCTCTCTCTCTCTCTCTCTCTCTCTCTCTCTCTCTCTCTCTCATGCATAAATTTAGGTTTTGAAATGTTGGTATGCTTGTCTTCTTTTATTTATCTATTTTTTTTCTCTGTAAATATTGTTGCAGATATGGATGGTGCAGCAGGCCTAGGGTTGTACCCTCTCCACCGTTGCAAAACTATTCACTTGGTTGACGTTTTTTGTATATGCCAATATTTCATGTTTCTCATTTCAAATCTTAGAAGAGCATAAATTAAGATGTGTAATATATATAATTTTGTACGTACGTCGTATATTTTGTAGGTGAGACATGCACAGGGATTGCACAATGTGGCTGGAGAGAAGGAGCACAGTGCATACTCATCTCCCGATTTTTTTGACGCACAGATTACCCCTCTTGGCTGGGACCAGGTCATGCATCATAATTTTTATTATATTGGGATGACTAATTTATTATTTCTTATTTCCTTATAAGCTTGTAATCACATGATATATAAGAAGCAATTTATGATGCATAGAGTATGACAAATCTTTGTTGTTTCTATCTAGTAATTATTTAATTTCTTGTCGTTAGAGAAAGAAAAAGACTGACGTACGCTTGATATCATAACAGGTGGATAATCTGCGCAAACATGTTCATTCGTCAGGTCTTTCGAGTAGTATTGAACTTGTCGTTGTTTCCCCTTTGTTAAGGTCACTATATACTCATCTTTCGTATTTTATCCTTTCTGTGTTATCTGAAACTATGTTCATTCTTTGATTTTCGGAAAATAATGGTTCTAATGTATAATTATCGAGACCTTTTAATTTGTTTGATTTGTTGTTTTCTTTTTTTGCTATACTAGAAAGGTGGACGTGCGTTACACGTCTCGTGTTATTTTTTTCTCTTTATTTAGCATATTTCACTTGTGTTTTGTATATTTTCACGGAATTTATATTATATATTTGCATGTCAAATTTTATTCTGGACAAATAATTATTCAATTCAACAAAATCTATTTTGAAGTAGACAAATAATTTGATACTTCCTTACATATTCGTGAGCCTTTTACTCTCTCATTTGATCTGAATAATTTGATACTCCTTACATAATTATCTAAATTTATAATATTAGATTCATGAAATATGTGAGAGATTTACATCTCATTCAGTTAGACTCGTAAAACGGAATTAAGAAACTCACCTAGAATTCATACTATCATATACAGTATAGAGTACATGTATAGATATAGATTATTGATGTACCTCCTTGAATTGCAGGACTATGCAAACTGCTGTTGGAGTTTTCGGTGGAGAAGGCTATCCGGATGGAATTATTAATGCACCTCCGTTGATGGCTGAACACATTTTGAATAATAATCGTCCAGCTATTTCAAGTTTAAATTCTCCTCCATTTGTTGCAATGGAACTTTGTAGAGAACGTTTGGTATGAGATGATTAAATATAAAATACTGCATTCATTTGAGTTTCATTCATTTGAGTTTCAGTTTTCCTTACTGCATTTAAATGTAAATATATATGCATTTAAGTAGACGTTTTATAGTGAGCTAAAACAGCGTAAAAACATGTTGATTATTTGAGAGTTCGTTCTTTTTTTCTTTTTAGAATTTTGATGCACTAGTTTTTGCTTCCCAATTTGAGTTTTTGCAGGGAGTTAATTGGTGTGATAAGAGAAGGAGCATAAGCGAGTACACGACATTGTTTCCTGCAATCGATTTTTCACTGGCAAGTCAAATGTTCCTTTTAAGTTTCTTCTTCATATATATATACAAACCAAAAATAAAATAAAGAATATTGATTGTGATATTGAACAAAAAAAAAAAATTAAAATTTGTGTCTTTGTAATTTATATTAACAAGATTTTGTGAGTCATTCTTTAAACCTTATGTTTCTATATATTCAGATAGAAAGTGATGATGATACTCTCTGGGAACTTGACGTGAGAGAGACAAATGAAGATATTGCTCGGAGGGGTCTCAAGTTTTTGAACTGGTGAACTTTTTATCCTTTCAACTAAGTAGTTACAACTGTAAGATTTTATATATGTACGTCTACGTATACAGTAGAACCACGATAAATTAATACTCGATAAATTAATAACTTTTATTAAATAATAGTTTCTCTCGGTCCCGACTCAGTGAAAACGTGATAAATTATTACCTCGATAATATAATAATTCGCTAAATTAGTAGAATTTTCTTGGTCTCGACTGTATTAATTTATAGAGGTTTAACTGTATATTTTGTACGAAGTGCAGGTTGTGGACTAGGGAGGAGAGAGAGATAGCGGTTGTTACTCATAGTGCATTATTAATGCACACACTTACTGTATTTGGAGATGATTGTCATCCTTCGGTGAAGCCTGAAATATGCAAACCGTAAATTTGTTTCATTATTTATTCACAATTTACATGAATTTACGATGAGATGTGAACGTTGCAATTTTCACTTGCAGATTCAATAATTGCGAACTTCGACCACTGGTTATTGTCGACAGAAGGTTCACAAACCACTTAAATATTGACTATCAATTATTCCTCTCGCATTATTTAACATGTGTTGTTTGTAATCGCAGTATGATTGGTTCAAGTTCTACAAAAATCAATTATCCCAGAAAAATACCTCGAGGGATTGATGCCCAAATCGCTGATCCTAAAAGGAATAAGTAAGTGATGGTTTCTCTATATGATTAATTTAGATCAAAGAGAAACTTGATTATCAGTGTTTCCTATTACTTGGTCAACTGATATATTCATTAGTAGAAAATTTAGTGGAAAGTTAGTTAGTTATTAGTGAGTTAGTGGGTAAATTAGTAGAATTAGTCATTGTAGTGGAATAGGTCCCCGTTTGGTTGACAATATAAGATTAGCCAAGATAAGATTAAATAATCTAATGAGACCCAATTATTTTATTGGAGGTTGAAAGGTCCAACAAAAAAAAACTCATTAAGAGGCAAGATAAGCCAAGATAAGGCAAGATAAGCCATGATTATTTAATTTTGGCGGGTCGATCCGGCAAGTTATTGAGGATACCAAACATCAAATTAAGTCCAACTATTTAGTTAATCATGGCTTATCTTGGCAACCAAACGGGGTCTATTATTATTATTATAATTTCCGATAGGTTAAAATGTGAAGGACAATTAAGTATATCTAACTATTGTTATTTTTTTTTTATAGAAGTCCAACTAAGTTCCTACACCTTTCCCATTTTATTTGTCGTTCTAGAGAAAAAAAATGTTTCAAATAGTTCACTTTACTATTTCATTCAAATAGTTCACTTTACTATTTCATTAAAAAAAAAAGTATTTATTACATTTTTTTCAATTTTTCACTTACTACTTTTAAAAGAATTAACAATGAAACAATTAATGAGATGTGCTTTTTAGTTATTTTATTAGAATCCACCCACATTTATTAGTTTTCATAATGCAAGTGCATTAACAAATAAAGTAGGAAGGATGAAGTACGATCACTTGAATGACCAAAAGTCAATACCTTTCACCTTAGAGGAGTTTATGCCTTTCAAATAAATTAAAAGTCATATGGAAAACCAATAATCCAAATGGTCTATATTTAATAAAAACGGCAATTCTAATGAAACGACAATTCTAATGAAAACCAATAATTCTAAATTGTCTTTCAAAACTTACTGAAAGTACTTTCCTCTTATAAAATCTAGGTCTGGTGAAGGCAACAATGGAATAAGAATGAAAGCAGCCACTAAGATGAAAGCTCTTGTGAAAAAACTCAAGGTGAAGTTTTGAAAGAACGTCTGTGGTGAAGTTTTGAAAGAACGTCTATCGTATCGTATTAATAGTTAACTTAAACTTGAACTTAACGTGTTATTTTTTTATCATTTTCAGGTGAAGAAAAGGGAAGCATCATGTCACATCTGTTGAGGAAAATGCTCAACGAGTACTTTTTTTAGCAAACAATAAATTGAAGGTATAACTTTGACCATTTGGTCTCCTTTAAATTGGCTATTTATTTGAATTTTTTTTTGTAGGAGTGTCCGTGATCATGCGAGCAACATGTGTTCTAATTTCCTTACATGTACTGTTTTTATTATGAAATTTTATGTTATATGATAAAAAGATCATAACTCATGTTAAACTGTAGAACCATTATATTCTCATTCTTTCTTCAATTCATTATCGAATGTTCTAACCTCCATAAACTTTAGCTTTTGTCAAGTCTATCCCACTTAAAAAAGGATAAATGTGTTATGTTTTTTAATTTTTTTACTACCTATTTTACCCTTAATCATTAAGTTATAATATTTTTAAATATAAAGTAATTATGTAAATTTATAAGTAATATTTTGATCAATTTGTTTAATTAAGTAGACAATAGTCATCTTATGTATAAAAGGAAGCTCTTAAAAAAATATAAAAGGAAGAACTTTTGACCTATAACCATAAACCTAATTTAGGGCTATTTTCAACAATTCGTGTCGGCAGTTTTTTTGTTTTTTTTTTCTTTTGGATATTTTTTAGTTTGTTTTCATTCCACAGCGATAACTATGATAAATAAAAGGAAAGTAAAAAAATAGCACACATATACAAATTGAAGATACGATCAATAACTGCTCCATTTACATCTCAGGTACGTCGCTTTGAAGCTGGACTATAGATATCTTTAGCTAAAGGTTTGGTGAAGTAGTCCGCCATTTGATGCTAAAATCGAATATGAAGGAGCTTAACCGAACCATAAGTGACTTGTTCGTGCACATAGTTGTTAGAGTAGGTGATCCTTTGGCATTCTAATCCTTGCATGTACATTGATATAATCCTTACAGTTGCTCTATTATTATGAATTAATCTACTTGAATTATGAGATAATTTAGTGTAAGTAATATAGCTGATATAAATATATAATAGGCTTAAAATCAAGGGGCTCTCAGATATAGGCCCCACCCCACCACCCCAAAAAAAAAAAAAAAAACCTCCCCTCAGAAAAAGAAAAAAGTAATACATTAATATAGAAATGTCAAACCTTATTTTCCTCATTAGAAAAAAAAAATCGTCCAAGTATGACTACATCGGGCCCCGTGCCTCCGCAGTCTTCTCTGAAATCATCACAGATTTCCGGCATTTCAAGTTTTGAAGGGGAGGGTTAATCCATGCAGCCGTTATTATTGTTCACAATTGGAACCTTACCTTTTCAGTTAATGTGTGATGTTTAGTGATTATGCCAATTGTATTTTTTTTGGATAATGTAGGGATACGGTATTTCTTTTGATTTATTATATTGGTAAAACTTTGAATGACTCAGTTGAATCTTACCACCACTGGAAAAGATACTACAACATTTTGGGGATTTTACGACGCAATTTTTACCAGACAGTTTCATAACCGTCGTAAAAAAATGTATTCTTGATGGTTTTATAAGATTCTTGACGCATAGAAACCGTCAAATATATTGGTTATCTTGACATTTTTTAACCCAATCTCAACGTAACGAATTATAATTGTCACATAAATTAAAGTTTTATAAAATTGCTACGTTTTATTTTTGATAAAATAAAATTGCTACTTAGCAACGTTTAAATTTTTAAATCGTTTTTCAGATGTAGCGCTGCAGTTTTATAAGATTATCCGTTTAATGTTTTACAAAACAACTAATTAAATAATTTAAATTAAACAACACAATCTTATATTATAAAACATAAAAAGAAAAAAAAAATACTCTCTAATTCTAAACGTTTAGGCTTTGGTGGACTGAGGTCGTTGGCGAGTACCTCCTGATTATCTTTATTGCCCATATCTGCTTGTTTGGAAGCAAAGAGACTTTCATGATTCAAACCAACCACAAAATAGGGAAATCGCCATCTTTAAGACATGGGGTTGAGGACTGCACATGAGTAGGTGTGGGTTTTGGATCTGTAGCGACTAGAGGGATGGGTTCCTCCTGATATAGTCCTTGTCACAAATCACAATTTCTTTGCAAATTTCTTCAATTTCTTCTAAGCAGGCGAGGTTGAAGAGTTGTGTCTCCTTTTTTTGGGCCCTTCAGCAGATCGATCTTTGCCCATGGTGATACGCCCCGTAGAACTTGTTACAAGATCCAATACCTTACCCGGAAGCAAGATCGAAATTTACAAAAAAAACCGGAATCAAAGGGGTGGAATCGCGACCCATTGCTTATAAAGAAGAAAGAACCTTGGTATGTGAAGACGCCACAGTCGATTGTGAAAGATCAATTGATAAGTCGGGGTGAACGCACGGAATTCTCCGATATGTTCGAAGAGTGCTTAAAGTACTACAGAGAATAATCTGAATTTACTAAACAAAATTCTTCTATTAAAATAAGCCAAATTGATAACCTATTTATAAGTGCTAAAAAGACTCCATTTTCACAAGAAAAATGTCTCATTCCTAAACTATAATAAAGAAACTAATAGTAAAGCAAATCCTAACCATAAAGAACTCTAAAATAATAAAAACAGAATAAATCCTAACATAAAACGTGCATAATTAAATTAAATAACTTGAACATCAAGCCGAGTTTTCGATCACTCTTCTAAACTCGTGTAGACATTTGGTTGTGCAAGTGCAGGAACTTCAAGCTGGATTTAGACATTGTTCCGCTCCAATATCTCTCCGCTGCAAAATATGAAAGTTGTAGATCTTTATGTTGGCTTTCCATAGCAGTTTGAATCACCTTTAATGGATGTCAGATGAGAGAGTTATAAAGACGAATGGTAAACTTTGTCTGAATCATATGGGGCTTTCGGGGTGCATAGAATTCGACTTGTCTAAGGAATTTTCCTTTTCCTTTTCTTCCAATTCCGATCCACGAACTCTTCAAAGATCTAGCCTTTATGCTTCAAGGGAAGCTCGAATAACGTCTTTAAACTTGTACGCTTTCGCTTCTTCCAATTCTACATATTTGAGTTTGTCAGGATCGTATCACATGGTGAATCTGTAGAGACAGAGAAAAGAATCCAAGGGGCGTTTTGTTTGAAGAGGAGAAATAGAGAAGAGAACGGGCGAAGCAAATAATGATCAGACCTAAATGCAGGGCAGGTATTTAAAGCACATAAATTAAGAATGAAAATCACTCTTCAAATATCTTATGAATATAATCAAATCTTTGATAAAAACAAATCCCATGAATGTCGTGTTAAAACATAAGGATATTCCCACACGCTTTTTCAGGAATTCGAAATAGATCACGTGTCAACAGTCATCCAAAGACCTTAATAAACACAAAAGGCATAAATTTCCAGAGATTTGAGAGAAAAATAAAATTATATATATATATATATATATATATATATATATATATATATATATATATATATATATATATATATATATATAAGAATCCAAGTTTTAAAAGGAAATAAAATCAAGGAGGTTGTAAGACCGAAATAGAAAGCCTCTTTTCAAGGATTAATCAAAAGTACTTTGAATAAAATACAATAGAAGGCCATCAACATTCTCTTGGATGTACGATATACCTAGGGCCACATGTTCATACTCAAGAGGTCATAAATTAGGTATTTTAATGGGGTTATGAATACATATGAGATTAGCATATAAATTCGATCATGAACTTTCAAGAATAATTTCACTAATAAATACCTTAACAACATTCTAAAGAGTCTACCCTTGTTTTCTTCTGTCTCTTTCTTTCCTTTTTTTCAATGTAATAAATAAATCCGTGGATTTGGCAGATAGTTCTTTTTGTGATCTTTGATAAAAAGTTCAATCAAGTCTAAGAGGGCTACCTGCTTAAGAATCAACATGGATTTTAATTAAGAGTCAGGAATGCATATCCAAATGGCATAATTCTTCTTTAGTATAAACTTGAGATGAATGTGGCCATAGGCATTGATCACTCACATAGAGGGTGGCAGCACTCCTCTATCGAGACTTACCGCGGGAACAAAAGATTAATCCACAAAAAATAGCAAACCCCAGTTCGTCAATATGATACCCCTATCGCAACTATTCTAAGCAAAACAAAAATTAACATAAACTGAAACCATGTTACCACATAAATAAGGTGATATACTATCCATTTTATAGTTCAATTTTGGTTCAAGTGCAACCCAGACAAAAACAAAGACATGATAGACAATCATTTTTAAAATTCAATTTTGCACATTGCAGATTTCAAGAGCCTTACGGAAGAAAGAAATCCATGAGCTTTGTGAATATATCAGCCAACTGATTTTCTGTGGACACATAGTATATGGACACAAGTTTATGTTGTACTAAATCCCTGATGAAATAATGACGAATATCTATATGTTTTATCCTAGAATGTTGAACATGGATTTTTGATACTTATGGCACTCTCATTATCACAAAAGACATGCAATTATTTTTTATGAAAACCATAGTCATTTAACATATGTTGCATCCAAAGGAGTTGGGTACAACAGCTACCAGCAGCAGTGTATTCAAACACAATATTAGATAAAGAAATACAATTTTGTTTCTTACTGTACAAAGATAATAACTTGTTACCCATGTAGAAACAACCTCATTTTGTGTTTTTCCTATCATCCACATCTCCTGCCCAGTCAACATCACTATAATCTGCAAGACAGGTGTTAGTATCTTTTAAATACCATATTCCTAATTCGGTTGTTCCACTAATATATCGGATACTGCGCTTTACATCGCTCAAATGACTCTCTTTAGGGCTTGCTTGGTACCTAGCACACACACCTACTCTGAAACAAATATCAGGTCTACTAGCAGTGAGGTAAAGCAAACTTTGTATCATACTTTTGTATAGTGTGGAATCAGTATCTGTGCCATCACAATCACGTCCCAACTTCTCAGTTGAACTCAGTGATGTTTTTAAAGGCTTCAAATTTTCCAAACCAAATTTACCTACAAGGTTCTTAGCATATTTGCTTTGTTATATGAAAATCCCATCCTTCAGCTGCTTCACATGTAACCCAAGAAAATATGTGAATTCACTAACCAACTCATTTCAAATTCTTTTGACATTTAAGAGATAAATTCATCCTTTTTAAAATTGGAAGTAGATCCAAAAACTATATCGTCCACATAGATTTGGGCCAATAAAAGTTCATCTTTGAATTTCTTCACAGGTAAAGTTTTATCTACTCCCTCTCTTTTGTACCCATTTTGAATCAAAAAAGTTGCGAGTCTGTCATACTAATCACGAGGGGCTTGTTTTGGACCGTGTAATGCTTTTTTATGTCTATAAACATGATTAGGTTTGAGAGGATCTTTAAAATCCTTTGGTTGTTCAACAAACACTTCTTCATTCAAAAAAACATTCAAAAATAGGCTTTTTACATCCATTTGAAATAGTTTGAATTTTAAAACACATGACTCAAAAAACAAAAGTCTTATTGACTCAAGACGAGCTACATGAGCAAATGTTTCCTAAAACTCTACTCCATCAATCTGAGTATATGCTTGAGAAAATAGCCGAGCTTTATTGCGCGTTATGTTTCCAAATTCATCTGTTTTATTTTTGAAAACCCACTTAGTGCCTAAGACATTTACCTGGTCAGGTCATGGAACAAGTTTCCTACATCATTTTGAGTGAACTGCTCAAGTTCTTGTTGTATAGCTATTACCCAAAACTCATCAAGAATTGCTTCTTTGATGTTTTTTGGTTCCATACTAGATGTATAACATACATACCTGACGATTTCTTGATAATTTACTTTCGTTTTGTTTCGAGTTTTCATACCTTCATCAATGTCACCTATTACCTGTTCCGAATGATGATTTTTTACGATTCTCTTGGAGGGCTTCTTTCATTCTTCAGCACATTCTTTCGCTGAGGTAACATCTTTTGTTTCAACATCCGAGGTCTGGATTGGTACTTCATTGGTTT